CAAACTGATTCTGATGCCTGAGTGCATCCCCCATGCCATCTGATCTCATTTGCCTGGGTATCCTACTTTTTAAAAGCTTCCCAGGTATATAGTCTTTTGATTGTGATGGATGCATACAGATGTCAAAATTATCAAAGTGGGGGGCGCCGGGGTGGCTCAGTCGTTAAGCGTCTGCCTTCGGCTTAGGTTATGATCCCAGGGTCCTGGGATCGAGCCCCGCATCCGCATCTGGCTCCCTGCTCCGTGGGAAGTCTGCTTCTCCCTCTCCCACTCCCCCTGCCTGTGCTCCCTCTCTCACTGTGTCTCTCTCTGTCAAATAAATAAGTACATTTTTTTTTTAATTATCAAAGTGGGATGTCTGGGTGGCTCAGTTGGTTGAGGGTCTGCCTTCAGCTCAGGTCATGATCCCGGGGTCCTGGGACCGAGTCCCCAATCGGGCACTTTGCTCAGCGGGGAGCCTGTTTCTCCCTCTGCCTGCCACGCCCCCTGCTTGTGCTCCCTCTCTCTGACAAATAAAATCTTTTTTAGATTTTTAAGTATTTTTAATCTTTTTAAAGATTTTGTTTGTCAGAGAGAGAGAGTGAGAGAGCGAGCACAAACAGGGGAGGGGCAGAGGGAGAGGGAGAAGCAGGGTTCCTGCTTGAGCAGGGAGCCCGATGTGGGACTCGATCCCAGGACCCCGGGACCACGACCCGAGCCAAAGGCAGACGCTTAACCGACTGAGCACCCAGGTGTCCCAAATAAATAAAATCTTAAAAAAAAAACCCACAAAAACTTACCAAATTGTACACTTTAATATGTATAGCTTATTGTATGTCGATTATATCTCAACAAAGATGTTTAAAAAATTAAAAGCCATCCAGGTGATTCTAGTGGGCATCCTAAGATGAACACCATTGAGCTGGGACAACCTCCTCAGTTGAGCAGATAAAGAAATGGCCCCAGAAGGGAAGAAGTCGGCTTGGACATCATGTCATGGCTGCCAGCACTTAGAACCTATGACTCCTGGCTACTGCAGCAGTGTTCTCACCTGAAAACCATAATGATAGGACATTTACAAATTTAAAAGGGGGCCTCAAAATTTTTGAAGGACTAGGATTATTTCTCAGAGATGGAGGGCACACGAGAGCTAAAACAGAAAACAACCCGCCAGGCTTTACCTGATAGAGTCGCCATTTGGAGGGGCAGTGGGTTGTCTTTTCAGTGTCTTCTCACTCTGCCCAAGGGGTTGTGGGGCTCTGTGGGGCTAGCCGAACCAGCGAGGAAAGCAATGTGTCAGCAGCTCCAGCTCCCTGTTGGCTGCCTCTCTAACTCCAGACTTCGTAATACCCTTTGCTTTTTCAGTATTTCCATCTCAGATTCAGCGTGTTCAAAATTGAACTCATCACCTTCTCCTCCAATCTATTCCTCCTTCTCAATTCCTTGTCTTAATAGAATGCCACAATTCTCCCAGATATCCACACCAAAAAGAGTGCCTCATCCTCTACACACAAATGGTGTCCAGTTATCTTCCTGAAGGTCTCTTAAATACATCCTTCCCTCACATCTTTACAGTCACTTTTAGGTCCTCGACATTTCCTGCCTAGGCCTCCTGACTCATCTCCCATTTTTCTGTCACTGCCTTTTGCAGCTAGAGTAATCGTCCAAGACCACAGATCATGCCATGACCCCGTCTGAAAACCTTTGAAGGGCTCCCCCATGACAAATAGGATGAAACCCAAACTCCTTAGCATGACAATTATATCTGGCCCCAGGCCTCCTGTTTCATATCCTCTCCCACCACTCTTCGGGTATGTACGTCTCCATACATACTGGATCCACTTGTGCCTCTGTCTCATGTACATGCTATTCCATGGGCCTGCAACAGTGGATCTACCCTAATTCGTATTTGCCTTCTAAGACTCAGTTTAAATATCACTCCAGATGGAGTCAAATACTCCCTCTGTCCCATGCCTCACTGGTCCATGAAAACAATTATTCTGCTCTTTCATGGTAGTCTATTTCTACATGCTTTCTCACTTGATTGTGAACAAATTTATTTTTATTTTTCTGTAAACATTTTTTTTTTTTTGAGAGAGAGAGAGAGAGAGAGAGAGAGGGAGAGCATGAGCAGGGGGTTGGGGCAGAGGGGCAGAGGCAAAGGGAGAGAATCACAAGCAGATTCCCCACTGAGTGCAGAGCACGACATGGGGCTTGATCTCACGACCCTGAGATCATGACCTGAGCTGAAAGCAAGAGTCAGATGCCTAACCGACTGAGCTACCCAGGCGCCCCGGTTGTGAACAACTTTAAAACAGCCCATGTTTAGGGTGGCTCGGTGGCTCAGTCAGTTAAGCAGCTGTGCTCGGCTCAGGTCATTCTTCTCCCTCTCTGCCCCTCCCCCTTCTTCATGCTCACTCTCTCTGAAAATAAATAAAATCTTAAAAAAAAAAGCCCATATTTTTGTTTTTCTCATCTCTACATCCCTAGGACCCAGCAAGACCCTGGTACATACATATAGGTGCATAAAATTATTTCATGAATTTGGACTTTCTTTTCTGTTTTTGTTCTTTCTAAATACTGAGTAGGCAACCAGCAGCTAGGTGGGCAGGAAATCTCCACAATTTCAGAACCCCTGGGTCACCTGTGGCCACATAAAACCCAGAGTTGGCCTAGGGAGTCACTATTGCTTCCCTGGAGCTCCATAGGCGCTTAAATTCACTATTCCTGTAAACTGTGCTTGGAAGGGTAAATGCATCTGGCGGCTCCCCAAAACTGTGTATCTGTCTCTGCTACTAAGATGCCATTCAGCAAGCAGCCATCTGTCCAGAACCCTTTACTGCTCTAGCCCATTTGGTCATTAACTGTTATCACTCTGGCCTGTTGAAAGAGGAGAGAAATCACTGACCACTCACATTCCAGCCTTAAAGCATCTTTTCCTTAAAGGTAAAAGTGACCAACAAAGGGGCACAAATGAAAAACCTTTTAAACACTGTTTGGAAAATGTGAACAGATTAGCTACACTACAATAAACAAAGATATCTGGCCTATTTCCATTACAATATGCCTCTAATTAATAATCTAACTTTAGATATTAGCATTAATAAATTACTTCAAGGAGCCTTTCTCAAGGGAGATAGGACCTCAAAACCTATTCCCATTACTCAATCTTATCTCTAATTTGTTTATAAAGGAAAAAAGGCAGCAGAAATATAATTTTTTTGAAATACAATATAGTTTACTAAGTATCATACAAAAGACAGACAGGACTCGATTTCCCTAAACTCTTTCTTCTATGTTTTCTTGTCTAAAAAGAAACAGAAATTAAGGACTGTCAACAGGGTAACTAAGGAGAACTCCCTAAATGAGTCTTACTTCCTAAGTCACTCATCATGAAATCCCTATATACACAGGCTGATTAACAACACTCTCCAATTCTGAGGGGCTATTTCTTTTAAAGAACCATACACTGAAGAGGATAGAACATGCCCTCAGTAATATTTTAATGACTACATTAAATAAAATGCAGGTGGTTCTGGGCAGGGGGAGAGGATCCAAAAAGGAAATTAGGACAACAGACAGTAAAGCTCTCCCTAAACAAAAAAGATAAATACAGAAATTCTACACTTACTTTTTTTAGGAAATTAAAATGCTTTGTAAAATTTGAACCTATTAAAAAAGGTTGATGAGTCAAGCAACATTTAGCAACATGATCAACCAATTCTCATTTAAGCTTTTGGATCACAGGAGCAATTTGGTCATCTATGCTTGCCTCTTCTAACTCTTGCAAACATTATCAAACCTACCTGGGGTGGAGGTGATAGGAGAACAGGATCCTAGTGAATTACTATTCCCTGTTCACCTTCCATTCTAAACATGGGAAATGTGGATTCCATTATTAAAAGACATGCAGTTTGTACATAAATTCCATCACCAAATTGGCTACTAAGCTACCCGTTTTCCTTTCCAAGACATAAAAGTTGTTTTAAATGTAATCAATCACAGGTGGTTAATGTTTTAACTTTTTATTAAGAAACTAAAGCAAAACGACAGAATTTCAAAAAAATTAAAATACAGAATTCTAATTTTAATTCTAAACAAATAGGAAATCTACACCAAACACTAAATCAGTTTATCAATATTCAAGAATAAAGGGGAATGGCTAAAATGCATTCACAGTCATTTTTTTTCCTTATTAGCCTCAGATTTATATCCCTTTCCTTAGTGCTTCCCTTCAATAGGATACAGAATTTCTTTCTCATCTATCTTTTGTTATGGTCTGTAACCTCAGAGGGGCTTTAGTCTGCCTACATAATTCTCTATTCCTTGAGCAAATATGTGAGCACCTGCCTATTGGGCTTAGGTGATGTGGGTATAAAGATGAGTCCATCAGAGATCCTGTCCTAAGATGTTTAGAGGAGATACGACACCAACAAATAATAAATATAAATTTATATAAGGTATAAAGTAACATAGCATGAGTTAAGTATAAATATAAAAATAGGGAAATTTCAAGGAAGAAAAGATTACATCGAGCTAGAGAAATTAGGAATGCTTTATGAGGGTACTATTTGGATTGGTTATGGACTGTTCCTTCCAGGAGGGTTTCAGAGGGGTCCTGATGATGATGGTGTTGATTTCCAGAAAGTAATCTTTAAAACTCTTTACATTTCTAGTTCTTCAAAACTGTTTATTTTTTTAAAAAGATCAAAAAATATTAGTATTATAGTCTATATAAACAGCAGTTTGGGGACTTAAATCAAAAGTTAATTGTAATACCTATTATATGGTTTAGGGCTGCTATTTTCTCAACTCTCTTTCCCAGGTCAAATCATATCTAAAAGGCAGAAGATGCCTAATCACTGAGCCATGACTTTTAAGTATTCAACTGGGCAAAACCTACTTGCTTTAGGTGCTTTATAAAATCTATAAACTTACAAAAGAATGAAGATGAAATAAATGGCTTAATATTCAAGTAGATAATGAAAAAAATGGTAACTATGAAATAATATATTAACGACAGAACTCCTTGTATGAAAAGTTTTAATGAATTATGAGCCATTGGCCATTACAGACTTTAAGCCTCAATATTTCTTTCCTATGTAGAACCAGGTAATTAAAACAGCCTATCTCAAGTATGACAGAAGACCATAGTATGAATAATAGTATCGTTTGTTTACACATCTGCATGCTTTGCTAAAGAACCAAAGTGAATGCTCCCAGTTTCCCAAGTCAACAAAATAAATTCAATTACACATTTTCTTTTCCTGACAATAGTTTTAGTTGAAATACAACCAATACTACTTTGTCTTTCAATAACACATTTTATCCATCATACAAGTATTTCCTATTATTTTCTCCTTTCTCTTCAATATGCTTGTGAGGTAGTGAAGGGAGGGAGCAAGGATTTTTTTTTTTTTAATCTTGCAGATGAGAAAACTTAAGGTGAATTTAAAACTCAACCTTAGCAGCATACTGAAATCAGCTAGGAAGTTTAAAAAAATCCTTATGATCATGTCATATCCCAGGCCAACATCAGAATTTTAGGGTATGGTACCCAAGCATCAATATTTTTCAAAATGCACATGACTCCAAAGCACAGCTAAGTTTGAGAACCACTGGTCTAGATGATTTATACTTAACCTTCAGGTGCAACTCTCTTCTACCTGAATGCTCTCTCAGCACCAATGAAAGAGATTCCTTTTCCTTAAACAGTGTAACACTTTAATATTCTCTGTACAACGACTAATGATCTCCAGTAATAAAATATCAGGTTATAAATGAAGGCTCTTCATTCCCCTGATGCTCATTCTAAATATGAACCTCCATTTTATAAACTTTGCAAATAGCATATTAGAGAATTTAAGTCTTTGAGATAAGAATGGCTTGTTGTTAAATATTTAAGCAATTATTTGATTCTAGGTTGAATGTGCAATAACCATGTGTTTCTGTTTTCCATTCAGCACCTTCAAAACTTTGTTACAAATGAATATTATACTAATAAGACAATATTATACTAATAAGACAAAACAGAAATTATAAACAAAACTCTCGGCAAAAGCTCTTGGCATTGGCTATATCACTCCCTGAAAAAAAAAAAACCAAGCACATAAGGGACTTTATTGTCTTATCATTTATCAACCTTCATCCTGAACCAGTTCTTTTCTTCAAATTTTAAACTTTGCCAAATTGAGTTGTTCTACACCAAGAAAAATCAATTTCTGTAGCAGCTATATTCTCTAACACATTTAACATATAATTTCACTCTGTACTATTACTAAGTATGGTTTCCAGGTTTCTTCTTGACATGGATATTGAAAAGGATCTTTAACAGATTTCAACTGTAAGCAACATACCAAATACACAATAAATATTTGTAAACTTGTCAGGTGGCAAAAACAAATCTTTGTTCATGACTGAAATTCCCTGCTTCATAAGAGTATTGATAATCTTAACTCTCAAGGAGCAAGCCAAGAACTCTAGCCAGCTGCTTACTGTCTGTCCCTAATTTGATTAGATTTAAAACAAAATTACACACAGCAATAAGCTGAAAGGCAAAGAACCACCTGCCTTAGTCAATTCTTATCACAAAGATGCATCTGAAACCATACATTTATACTTTCATACAGAAAGATGATGTTTGTTTCTCTTATAACAAAAGAAAATCTCAGCTCGTGTATGTTAGATTAATTCAAGAGAATTAGTGAAATCAGATTTATTAGTCAAAAACTCAGATTAGGAATTAATGTCAAGCTCTTCTACAAGGAAACCTTCAAAATATTGCCAACCTGAAGTTTTCATTTTCAGCACAAGGTATTTTATTTTAAGTCCCATGGGGGCAATTATCTATAATGAGATTAAGAACATTCTTAACCTGGGTTCAGGCTGGCACTGTTTCAGATGGGTGAGTAAACATTTTCTTGATAACCCCAACAAAGTGTTTGAGGCTTAGATTTGTTGCCATGATGTAAACAATATGAAATTTAAAAAAAAATTATACTATCTACAGCATTATAAAGTTACAAAATAAAAGGACCATTAATTCTTTTCCAAAGGTCTGTGACTAACAGCTTTCATATTTGAGGCCTGTAAGAGCAAATGGCAATGTTCTATATTGTTATGAGACACTTTCGCAAAAGGCCAAAATATAAAACCAGATACTAGAAGATGCACATTATTGTTATTATTACTGACCTATGTAGGATTAGAAATAAAATTTGCCTTCCCTCAATCTTAAACCAGGACACTGAGGGGTCTTTACAATAATTTTGATCGTTAAAAGAAAAATACCAGACTGTAACAGCTATGGAAACTGTAAACCATATTAATGTAAAAATGAGCCAATACAACACATCTCCTCTTAAAATCCTCTTCTTTGTAGTTACCTAATTTTCCCTAAATGTTATTCTAATCTTGTACCATGTAGTGGTTTTTAAGAAACTGAACTAGAACAAAGCAACCCCTTTGTCCTGTTTTTTTTTTTTTTTACAGTTTTTTACACACTTATTATATATACAACTTTTAAAATAGCTGCACAATTTTACATCCACTGTTAGAGAAGTGCAGTCCAGGCAGACCATGCTTCTCAATATATTAAAAATATTAAATAAAACCCAACCAGTTTCATACTTTTCTAATAGTCAAGCTGGCTGGAAAAAGGGTCTGGAGAAAAAACAGGCGGTTGTAAAACAGGATCAGTCTTTCTTCACAAACACACTACTTAAAAATCTTGCTATTTCCTTATCTTATCCCTTTTATAGCATCTCTAAAATCTCACCTTAAAAGTTGGAAATGACACATTGCTAACTTAGAGACAAAATCTGTTGCAACATGCATATGTCAACTGCCCACTCAACCAACTGCAACCCTGAGGATTTTTCTGGCCCAGTACAAAGAGGAAACACTAAGATAATCTCTGCCATAGAGCTGCTTCTCCAGTTAACAATTTCGTGTGTTTTTCAGGATGTTTCTTGGGCATGCATGTATGACACTGTCACTTCATGATTCTACTTTCCACAAGCAGATATCGCCTCCATTCTGTCTTTCATCCCAAGAAAGCGACTGTCATCCATCCAAAGGTTTTCCAAGGTAAACCAAAGTCACTTCTGTGTTGCCATATACAGCAGAAACTGCTGGATATAAGCAGACCTTTGGAAGTCCTCTAAAGGCAACTCCCAGGAACTCATATCCACGTTCAAAAGCTAAAGTCTTATCTTCCATGTCCAAGATGACGCGAATTCTTTCTCCTATCTGCAAACAGACAACAAAAGAAGGTTAGAAGGAAATTCACCAAGGGCATAGCTAAAAGAAATAAGATACAAATCAACAAGTTGAAAATATTAAGAATATAAAGAAATTATTAAGAAATTAAGAAAATATTAAGAATATAAAGTTATCTGGAAAAATGATCAGAGAAGTTTTCTGGTCAGGGAGAAACATCTAGAAGAAACAACATACATCAACTTCATCACAAATGCTTGTTTTGATAAATTTTTTTTTAAGATGGGATCTACATTTAATAACAAAAATTTAAATGTTCCCCCTGAACAGGTCCCAGAATTTAATTCCTCTTCATTTAAAGGCTTTTCTTAAGAAGTTTACTACTAAAATCTGTAACTTGGTACATTTTACCAAAAAAAAAAAAGCTATCTAAATAACCTTTTCAAATTATTATACTATATTACAACAGAATATTATTTAGCCATATAAAGAAATATAATTTTGATATAGGCTACACCATGGATAATCCTTGAAAACAGTATGCTAAGTGGAATAAGCCACACACAAAAATATAAATATTGTATAGTTCCACTTATATAAAGCACCTGCAATATTCAAATCATAGAGTCAGAAAATGGAATAGAGGTTACCAGAGGCTGGAGAAAGGGAGAGATGGAAAGTTATTGTTTAAAGAGCACAGAGTTTATGTTGGGGAAGATGAAAAAGTCTTGGGTATAGATAGTGGTGATGGATATACACACTGTATTAATGCCATTGCATTGTACACTTACAAATAGTTAAAACAATAAATAATGTTATGCATATTTTATCACAATAAAAAGTTACTATAATAAAAAAACACTTACATAACCTTTAAAGTTCACAAGCAGTTCTACATATACTGTGGAACTTATATAATCATGAAGAGCCAAATCTGACTATAGATTCTAAAGATGCAGAATAAACTTATTAGTCATTTTATGGGCCACTGCTCTGAAACACCTGTTTGTTATAAAAACAGCAGCACTGATTGTTAAACTAAAGCAGAAGCACAATATATCCAGCTTTCTTCCCACATGGAAAAGTAAGCAAATGAGATGTTTTGTTTTTATGCTATGCACCTACAAAAGGTTGTTTCATCTATATACACCTGGAGGCAGAAAGTCCTAACATTTGCAATCAAAAATCAGAATTTAATACTTCCCAATTATATTAATTCCTGCTGTTGTTGTTTCTTTCCTTCATTGTATTTCCTGTCACGGACAACTACAAACATCTGCTTCTTTCTTCCCTTTGCCCAACTCACAGATTAACATGCACCCCATTTTATGGACCTAAAAACATCATAATCACCATCACCACTATTGCCACCAACAAAACAAACAAGAAACAATAGAAATGAAAAGTTAATATTTTGCTGGATATTCATTTTGTGGTTTATTTGTATTATCTCATTTAATCCTCCCATCTATCCTAATATTTATCCCTATTTTACAGAAGATGGAAACTAAGATGACAGAACCACTCCTGGTGAAATCTGCAAGTTTGCTTCACCTTTGAGTGTACAGCATGCATACAGCACAGGGAGCAGAAAGCAGAAGTCTTACTAGCTTTAGGTGTCAGAGGGCAAAACTTGGGAGATGGCGGAACAATTGGAAACTTAGAGGAGGCACTCCATAAGGAATGGAACCACAAAAAGGATGATGCCCCAAATACAAGAATAAACTACCCAAATCATTGTGTGATCACTGTCTTACACAGACACAGGGGAAATCCCCACAGAATCAGGCTGGAAAAGTAGCAACTAGAAGCCAACTCCCTCCCCCCAAAAAACTGACAAAGACCTAGCTACTGTACACCATGGGGGAGACAGAGTTTACAGTCTGAAGAATCCAGGCAACTTAATTGCCTACTAGAACATCTACACTTTTCAGAAAAACAAAGTGATTTCTAGAAACAAAACATTCCAGTATTACTACTACATATTATCTATAATTTCCAATTTTCAATTTAAAAACGACTGGATATGAAAAGAAAGAGAAAAGCGCAACTCATACTCTGGGGAAAAAAGCAGTCAATAGAAACTGATTCTAAGTATGCCTATGTGTTGGATTTGGCAGACAAAGACTTCAAAGTAGTCATTATAAATATGTGCCAAGAATTAAAGCAAAATCTAAATTGATAAATGGACAGAGATTCTCAAAAGAGAAATGGAAACTACAAAAAAGAACAAATGACAATTATACAGCTGAAGAGTAAAATAACCAAAATTCACTAGCCTGGCTTAATAGAAGAATTGATAGGTAAGAAGAAAGAATCTATGAACTTGCAGATGGAGAGATTATCTGATCCAAAAAACAAAGAGAAAAAAGATTTTTTTTTTTTAAAGATTTTATTTATTTGACAGAGAGAGAGAGAGGGAGAGAGAGCACAAGAAGGGGGAGCAGAAGAGGGAGAGGGAGAAGCAGGCTTCCCGTGGAGCAGGGAGCCTGATGAGGGGCTCGATCCCAGGATCCTGGGATCACGACCAGAGCCAAAGGCAGATGCTTAACGACTAAGCCACCCAGGCGCCCCAGAGAAAAAGGTTTTTTTTAAACAAGAACATAGCTTCAGTGATAGAAAGACAATGACAACATCAAGCAGTCCAACAACTACAATAAACGTAAATGGGTTAAACACTCAAAAGGCAGAGATTATGAGATTGGGTTAGATAAAAAGACCCAATTATACGCTTTCTAGGAGACCCATTTTAAACACAAAGACAGATTGAAAGTAAAAGAACAGAGAAAAAGAGATACCTTGCAATAGTAAGCATAAGAAAGTTGAAGTTGCTATATTAGCATCAGACAAGTACTGAAATCTCCAACTGTACTTGCTAATTTTCTATTCCTTCTTTCGGTTCTGTAAGTTTTTGCTTCATGTGTTTTGGAGTTCTGTTATTAGGTGCATATATGTTTACACATATATCTCCCTACCTTGTTATGTCTCCCTACCTGATTAACTCTGTTATTATGAAATGACTCTAATAATATTCCTTGTCTTTAAGTCTATAATTCCTTAAAACTTCTAATTTCTTATCAGATTATTGTGTTTTAAACTCAGCTGACTCTATGGTAATCATGACTTTTACAAATAGGAACTATAATTTTGACCACAGAATCAAGTGAGTATGGCATAAAGCTAAGATGAAAAGAATAAAAAAAAATGCAGTAGTTTGCCTGAAGTTGCTTGTCTTATAGAAATCACTGACACCTCCAGAGGCTTTGAATCAACAGATTAATGAATAGTAGAGGGTACGTGTGTGCATGTGCATGGTGCATTTGTGGGAGTAAGAAGTCTAGAAAAAGTAGATTTGGATGTGCCATGATATAGGAAAGATGACAATCTAGAGCACAAGCTGGGAAACTATGGTTGTTGGGCCAAATCTTGCCTGCAGCCCATAAATAAGGCTTTACTGGAACACAGTTATGCTCACTCCTTTACATATCATTTATGGCTGTTTTTGTACTATAACAACAAAATTGAATAGCCGTGACACAGACCACATGGACCGCAAGGCCTGAAGTATTTACTACCCACCCTGTACAGAAAAAAGTTTGCCAACTCCCAATTTAGAGCAAAAACAGATTGCTCAAGGTCAAATATGTATCAGGAAACAAATATGGAAATACTAAAAGATTATTAGAGTAGCAAAGAAAGGCCAGTTACACTATTTATTTTTAAGTTACCAAAAAGACATATAAAGCTGCTATATAAAACTTTGTAAATTTAAAACAAATCAAGGCATGATTTAACAAAGGCCCACAACTGAGAAAATACCCAGTTTCTCACCTGATATTTTGGTGCATTGTTGCATTGTGGAAAACTGCCATTGACTTCTCCATTATGTAGTAGATTATTGTCCACCAGATTCCAGCCCCAGCTCTGGTCATCACTACCCAGTAATGCCACATAACCTTGGCACTGCATGGGGGCCCGTTTTGTGGCAATTCCAATCACTGCCACAGTGCCCAGAGGGCCTTCCCACCACACTTCCCATGCATGGCGGCCCTCACTGAAACCAATCTTGGTCCTTGCACCATCAGTACTCTGAGCAATGGGGTTTCGATGTAAAGTAAAGCCATTTTTCTTAATGTAGACATTCCTGGAGCAGTCATTAGTGCTGAAGGCATGTTGGAAAGCACGTACCTGAAAAGATGAAAAACAGACCAAAGAAGCAGAAATTTGATTTTTCTTAAACATTAAAAAGTACCCAAACTTTAGGGGCACCTGGGTGGCTCAGTTGGTTAAGCATCCAACTCTTGATCTCAGGGTTGTAAGATTGAGCCCTCGGCTCCATGCTGGGGGTGGAGACTATTTAGATTCTCTTTCTTCCCCTCCCTCTGCCCCTTCCCCACCCCCATCCCTACTCGTGTGTGCTCTCTCTCTTTTTTTTTTAAGATTTTATTTATTTATTTGAGAGAGAGAGAATGAGAGACAGAGAACATGAGAGGGAAGAGGGTCAGAGAGAGAAGCAGACTCCCCGCCGAGCGGGAAGCCCGACGTGGGACTCGATCCCAGGACTCCAGGATCATGACCTGAGCCGAAGGCAGTCGCTTAACCAACTGAGCCACCCAGGCGCCCTCGTGTGTGCTCTCTTTAAAAAAAAAAGTACCAAACTTTAGGCCTTTATGCTCCATGTTTTTAAACAATAAAGTGATAACTATAAGTTTAAATCACATTGTTTCATTATTGATCTTTACTGATCAAAATTCTGAACTGTAGTATTTCTCTAAATCCATTTCTTAAAATATCAAAAGATACACACAAGAATCCTTATATTTTAGAGATAGTACTGAAATGTTTATGGATGACATGACCTCAGAATTGCTTTGAAATATCCAGGGCAGGAGTAGGAAAGTGGGTGGGATAAACGTGAAACTAGACTGTCCATGAATTAATCACTGGTAAAGCTTGGTGACAGGTTTGGGAGGTTCCTTAAACTATTTTCTCTAGTCTTGTCTATATTTAGTATTTTTAGATCAAAAAGTTAAGGGATGTATAGTTTTCATGTTGGCAATGCTGCCATAAAAAATATTTTAATAGAGAACTTAGTCATAGCAGCTCTAAAGTTTATGAAAAATTTTAATAACCACAAACTATGTTAGATCCTCAGCTTCCTTGCTAGTTATTACTCATACATTGAGACAGCACCACTCTCATTTTACCAAATCAAATAACTCCATAAATAGCATCTAATTTCAAACACTAGAGTTTACAAAGAGATAGTCATTAAGAGCAGCCACCATTGATAGGACAGATTAGTTGACCTTCACTAACCAGTTTAAGCTTCCAAAATACAGTACTAAAATCTCTACTCTGTACAAATAGTAAACACTTTAATAATTTAAAGTTTTTGATTTGGGGGAGGGAGAAAAAATAAAGTGCTTGATTTGTATATTTTCTGAAAATTCCTTCTTTATTCAAACTACCTCAAAGAAGCCAAAGGCTGGGGGCCTACTGCTTTAGTTAACCTGAGCCACCAACTTCAGAATCATAGATTTCAGCATTAGGAAGGGCCTCAAAGGGACCTAGTGCAACACAGGGATGAAGACATGGACCTAAAAGTCCACATCTAGTTAGAACAAGAACCTCAAAGAGAAGTCAGGTTCATCCAGTGTTCAGTTACTATTAGCCAGTACCTCACTGCTTCACTGTTGCACTGCAGAGCACAGACAAAAACAAACAAAGAAACAAAACCCCTGCTTGATTTAGAAGGCTGTAATACTGAAGTATTTCTAAATTTTTTCCTATCTGTTCCTACCTTTTTTTTTTTAAGGTTTTATTGATTTATTTTTGACAGAGAGACAGCGAGAGAGGGATCACAAGCACGGGGAGAGGGAGAGGGAGAGGGAGAAGCAGGCTTCCCACGGAGCAGGGAGCCCAATGAGGGGCTCGATCCCAGGACCCTAGGATCATGACCCGAGCCAAAGGCAGACGCTTAACCGACTGAGTCACCCAGGCGCCCCTGTTCCTACTTTTAGGCACATAAAAAAATCAGAACATAAAATTAAATGGTGGAGTAAAATGTCCCCAAAATATTAAGTATTGAAAGACTCAAGAGGGTTTAACAACTAAAATATAAAATACTTTATAAAATCCTCATTAAAAAATATTTAACTAATACTTACCTATGTCTATTCCCCAATTCTTATAAATACCAACTGTTTTTTCTCTATCCTTCTTCTCTTTGTCACAAAGACACTGTTGCCAGCCTCTTCTGCAACCTTCTATGTCCTTAATAGGACTTCTTCCTATTACTCTGGACTGGATCTTTCTTCACCGTACTCTTTTCTGGTGACCATCTACTTCTGCCCCCTAAAACTCTCCAGAACTCAGTCCTTAACTCTCTACCTAAATCCTTTCCAGACCTATCCTTCTAAAAGAGCACCTCTATTACATTTCATCCCAGTTCAGTAATGTTTGATGGTTCCACACTACCATATCAACTGTGAATTATTCTTCCTGTCTTTCAAAGCCCTCCAGGTCTGGTTCTTCCTACTTCCCTTTCTAACTTCATGTCATTCTCCCTGTCTGTAATACACCTGCTTTCCTCCTCCAACATATCCTATATCCTCTAAGACCAGATCTAGTCTTGCCATCTCTATGAAGGTAGCCATTTTTTTTTTAATATTGTATTTATTTATTTGACAGAGAGAGAGACACAGTGAAAGAGAGAGCACAAGCAGGGTGAGTGGGAGAGGGAGAAGCAGGCTTCCGGCCTAGCAGGGAGCCTGATGCGGGGCTCGATCCCAGGACCCTGAGATCACGACCTGAGCCAAAGGCAGACACTTAACGACTGAGCCTCCCAGGCGCCCCTCTATAAAGGTAGTCTAACCAGAACCACCCAATCCCCGATTTCTCTCTCCTAAATTCTTATCCATCATAGTTGGCACCAAACAACATTTAAGTCTGTATCCAACCCGGGATGCCTGGGTGGCTCAGCTGGTTAAGCGTTGGCTCAGGTCATGATGATCCCAGGGTCCTGGGAAAGAGTCCCACATCCGGCTCCTTCCTCAGCGGGGAGCCTGCCTCTCCCTCTGCCTGCCGCTTCCCCCGCTGGTTCACGCTCTCTCTCTGACAAATAAATGAATAAAATCTTAAAAAAAAAGTCTGTATCCAACCCGACCACTTGATTCTAGTAGAAAATATATTGAAAAACAACAAGAACAACAACACTAATCTTAACTGATCAAACTTCTCTCAGTCTAGAACAGAAGGGCATGTTAAGGAACACTGGGAATGAAATCTGCAAAGTCCAGACTGAGGGAAACAAGGTAAACAACTTGGTTTCTTCAACAGATAAGTTGCAGAAATGGGAGTTAGGGGAAATGGAGGCTGAATTTGTTGGCTAAAACAGCCTTAAGAGATATATCAACCGTTTGCCATGAGAACCTTATATAGATCTTGATTAAACTGAAAAATAAGGTTATAACATTTGACATTTATGAAACAATTGGAAATTTGAACACTGTATCATTTACATTAAGGAATTATTGTTAATTTCTTTATACTTCATTGATATTGACATTGTGATTAAGTGTCCTTACCTTTTCAATAATTTTTTGATAATTTTTCTTTTATTTATATCCTTATCTTTAAGATAGTTTTTCATCTGAAAAATTCAGATGAAATGGCAAAATAGGGGTGCCTGGGTGCCTCAGTTGTTAGGCATCTGCCTTCAGCTCAGGTCATGATCCCAGGGTCCTGGGATCGAGCCCCACATTGGGCTCCCTGCTCAGCTGCAAGCCTGGTTCTCCCTCTCCCACTTCCCCTGCTTGTGTTCCCTCTCTCGCTGTGTCTCTCACTGTGAAATAAATAAAAAATCTTAAAAAAAAAAGAAATGGAAAAATATGCAAATTAATAAATAAAAACAATCCATAGTTCCTGTCTCACAGTCTCATGCACAATCTAAATCTAAATTTTACATTATAGCAAACAACTTTAAGACCTACTTTAGGATCTAGATCTAAAAATTAGAGAATATATTATAGTTAGATGCTAAGTATGCCTGAAATAATTGATGTTCCTTGATGACATAAAATATGAACTTTTAAAAGGAAGACAAATCCTAAATAGACTGGCAACAATACTTTCCAGTTTTATGCTAGCCCATGCCTGTTCCCATCCTCCTCTTAGTTACACAGGCTCCCTGGAAATCCTATCTAGACTCCTTCTTCTTCATCTCATTCACTCCCAGTCAGCTGTCCACCTATGTGAATTTGTTCTCTGCTATAGCTCTCCCGGACATCCTCTTCTCTCCTCTACATATTTGTTCAGGTCTTAAGTACCTCTGGCATAGGTACTAAGCCCTGCTCTGTCCAATTCATACTATGGCCTAGTTTTTCTAAAGCATAGCTCTTATTTGTCATTCCTCTGTTCAAACGTCTATGATTTACAATGGTAGAACAAAGCCCAAACTATACAATGAAACCTATAAGCCAAGAACATCCATGATATATCTAGTTTCAACTTACCTTTACAATCATATTCCCCACTTCAATTCAATCTCACTAGACCCTTTTGTATCTTTAGCCTTTCCTCTATGCTCCAAACTTTTTTTTTTTTTTAAAGATTTTATTTATTTGAGCGAGAGAATGAGAGAGAGCACGAGAGGGAAGAGGGTCAGAGGGAGAAGCAGACTCCCTGCTGAGCAGGGAGCCCGATGTGGGACTCGATCCCGGGACTCCAGGATCATGACCTGAGCCGAAGGCAGTCACTTAACTGACTGAGCCACCCAGGGGCCCTATGCTCCAAACTCTTAACAGCCGCCCATCTGAAATCTCTCGGATGTCTCAAAAACACTGTAAATTCTACTCTACCAAAATTGAATTCACGACTATTCCTCCTAAATCCAGCCCAGGTGATTCCCATAATTATGTAAGTGCGATATCTAGGAGTCATTCTTAGCACCTCCCTCTCCCTCACCCCTATTTCAAATCTATTTGAAATCTATTGCCAAGTCCTGTAGATTTTACTTCCAAAATCTTTCCTAAATTTCTTCCCCATCTCCTACACTACCCACTTCCTAACTCATCTACCCATATTTCTAAGGTCCTCCTCCAATCTGTTCTCTATACCGAAGTCAGAAATAACCTCTTAAAAATGCAAAAAAAAAAAAAAAAATCACACCACCAATCCCCACACTCCTAACCCCCTCTTGCTTACAACTCAAAATGGCTTCCCTATAGTTTGGCCTCAGTCCACCTCTTCCATCTTCTCTCAAACCTGTCTCACCTTTGCTCTCTATGATCCAGCCACACTGATGTGTTTTCTATCCCTCATACTCATCAAGTTCCCTCCTGGAAGGCTCTTTTCTCTCCCCTTGTCCTTATCATTCAGGTTTTACTTCATGTACTATATCTTCAGAGAAAGCCTTCCTTGACCTCCCTACCTTGGCCAAATCCTCCATTACTGACATTCAGAGTACTGTGCACCTCTCCTTCATAGTACCCACCACAGATGCAATTTTATAACTGTGATTATTTGATTAATATCTATCCCCCACCCCCCACTAAACTGTAAGCTCTATAAGCAAGGCATCCATTCGAGTTTTGTGTCTGTTTTTATTTACCATTGCATTTGCAAAACTGAGCACAGTGCCTGGCACTCACATTTTTTAAAATAAAAATATATGCTGTACACAGCCTTTGCTTTTCTCGTCTTGCATTGGCTCAGGGTATTTCTTCTTACTAAAATGTTCAAATCCTCCCTATCTTTAAAATTCAGCTCAAATATAACCCTAACCTCAAACTTTCTCCAAGCCTCCACTCAACTTGTACATCTCTCCTTTCACTGAAATTCTAGTGTGTGTGAATATATATACTTCCAGTATATACTGTTTATAATATCTCTAACAGGAGCAATTTCTATCATGTGTTAGTTATTTCTATACATTTTTCTTCTCCTCTACTTGACTGAGGACTTTCTACTAGGCTATCTGACTTCTTTTGAATTAATCTTTTTATTCTCAAGACATTCAAGCAAAGTTCTGCAACATCTGAACGAACATATGATTAGTACAAGTTTACAATACCTATCATGGGTGTGGTAGAAAGACATATAAAGTGTTAAGAACCTAAGAAACCTAAAATATCTCTGGAAGGATACAAAAGAAACAGGTAACACAGGTTGCCTCCAAGAAGGGAAACTAAACTGGGTGGCTGGAAGACAAGGGCAAAAGGAAGACATTTTGCTGATATTATTTTACTTCTTTTGCATGTCGACTCACATGAACACATTACCTAACACATATTGTTATATGAATCTTGACTCATGTAAATGTACCTATTACAGACCAATTACAAAAAGTTCTTAGTTGAAAATAAGTAAAAACAATAAACTTTATAAAAAAATTAAAACTAGGGCGCCTGGGTGGCTCAGTTGGTTAAGAGACTGCCTTCGGCTCAGGTCATGATCCTGGAGTCCCGGGATCGAGTCCCACATCGGGCTCCCTGCTCAGCAGGGAGTCTGCTTCTCCCTCTGACCCTCTTCCCTCTCGTGCTCTCTATCTCTCATTCTCTCTCTCAAATAAATAAATAATCTTTAAAAAAAATTAAAACTAAATAAAATGTATGAAGTCTACCTGCTTTTAGGCAAATCAGGACAAAACTGCAATGTTCTGCACTCTACTACATAAACTACAACTAGTATTCACTGAGCATCCACCATGTACAAATATTGTCCTAGTAAATTAACATGTTACTTCACTTAATAGAAAATTTAATAATTGACATGGATAATGGCAATATTCCTTACCATATTAAACTAAAACCTCCTTTGTTACAGAAGGATAAATTTTACGTCTATTTCACATGGAAAAATAAATTTACTTCTTACTCTGACTCCCCTCCTTGGCAGTCTAGTTTGAAAAAGGGTATCTACCCTTTTTAGTTATTAAGGTATTTTTTTATGTTTACCACATTCTAGGGCAGACTTCATCCTCTCTCATATATGCTCCCAGTGACTGCTATACTGAATAGCTATTATCCATCCAACTGAATTCAAGCTTCAGGCCTTTGTTTATATTGCCTGAAGAATCTTCTCAACCCTACCATAACCTGTTACTTGACAGTTTTATCTGTATATGAAGAAGGCAGGAATATGCCCAAGAATCTAGGAGGCAAAAAGGCAGCAAAACTGGAATCAGCACGTTAGATGACAAATGGAAGAGAAGAGGCACACCACCAAGGTGGAACTATGAAAAAGTTGGCAGGGAAGTAGCCAATAATATAGTGGGACAAGGCAGCATTAGGACGGTTAAGTGGTGCCCATGGGGGAAGTGGGGAATGTTCTATTAAAGCCTGTATCTTGAAAGTTAGCAGAATGTCTAGGACCACACTCACTTATAAGCCTGAAACATAATGGAGGGAATTAGAGAACTTGGGAGAAAATGGGGAAAAAAAACCAAACAGTTAAAAATCAGAGCCTGGAAAAGGTGAGGTGAATGTGGGATGAAAGCAAAGATCTTAGAAACTAAGCCGGTGTTAAGGCAGCTGAGATGGTCTAACAAAAAATAGAGTAAGAGTATTGAAAGGTACAATAATGGGGAGTGGGGGGTCTTTTTGGAAGAAGACTGTGGAAAAGTGGAATGAGTGGTGGAAACCAGGAATTGCAAACTATCTGGTCCTTTAAAAAGTGCATCTCGGAAGTGGGGTGGGTTAATGAGCAGAACTTCAAAGAGAAGAGGATATTTACAGAGGGGGGAGGTGAGGTAAGGTATTGATTGCAGCCGTGCAAAGGCGGGATGGTGAGGCGAGGCGTCTGAGTCAGAGCTTAGATGAGAAGCACTGAGACTGAGAGCGGCGCAGAGAAGCGGGACTGGGGGCAGCGGCGTGGCCCGGGGCTCCCTCACCTTGGCCTTGTAGCTGGGCAGGTTGCAGAGGATGTCCGTGCGCAGAGCCTCTTCTGCCAGGCTGCGGGCGCAAAGGCTCCGCCACACCTCGCTGTTCTCATCACCGTGCAGGCAGCGGTACCAGTGCTTGCACACCAGGGCGCAGCTCCTCAGCTCGGACAGCTCCAGGTAGGAGAACACCAATTCCAGCACCCGGCTGGGCAGCCGACCCCCTGCCCCCGCGGACCCGGAGCCCGAGCCGCCGACCGCGCCGCCGCCGCCGCCGCTACAGCCAGCGCCGCCGGAGGCTGCCCCAGGCCCCGGGGCTGGCGCCGCCATCGCCTCACCAGCCGGCCCAAGGGCCGCCGCTGCCGCCGCCGCTTCCCCCCGTCTCTGCTGGGGAGGCCAAGCCTCGCCTCGAGACCGGAGCACCTCGCTTACCGCCCCTTTCACAGCCAACCACCGGCCCTCTACCACTCCCGCCCCTGCCCGGGGGCGTCCGCCGCGCGCCCCGCCTCACTGAGGGCAGACGCACGGGCCGCAGGGGCGTCCCCCGCCCCTCCTCCCCGGCTCAGCGCGGGCGTCGGAACCGCCGGACTCGCACGGCCTCCCCCCGGCGCGCCCGTGGCTCCGCCATACTGGTTGAGGGCACGAAGCAAGGGCGCACGCCCAGCTCGCTCGCGGTTCCTCTCGGCCCCGGATGTGACTGTTTGGCTGAGGCTCCCCGCGCCCAACCCGACAGAGGATTGGGCGCCCACGGGTGAGGTCATCACGAGGCGCCGAGGAGGGAAGCGGGAAGCGCAGGTATGAGGCTGGCCCCTGTGGCTTTTGTGGCTGTTCTCCGGTGCCTTTTCCTCTTTTTGATCTAGTGCTCTCGCGTCGGCCTTCTTGGGCCTCTTTCCCTGTGAGGTTTCCCCGTGTCATGTCTCTGCTTCAGACTCCAACCTAACGCATGACTTCCCTCTCCTTGCTAGCCAGTTCCTAGCTCCGCCACCTTCGGCTCAAATTGGATCTTCTCCTTTACTTTCGGCAGCTGAGGTCGTCTTCTCCTGGTCAGACCTTTTTGTTCTTTATTGGTAGTGGTACTTAATCAGAACATGTGTCCTAGCGTGTATTCGGCAAGTAAGGTCATTTAAGTCTCCCCCCACCCCCCGCCCAAATGTTTGGATAGCCTGAAAGTGCCACGTAATTGCTGATTAAGTACTCCATTCTTTTGGACAAAATGTAGCCTTTCCCAGTCTTTCCTACTAACCCGATTAGTGGGCGGATCAAGGCAGCGTGTTTTTATATAATTAGACATTCCAATAGGGAGAATGATGTGGAGGTTATAATTATAGATGACTTCTTGGAAGAGAAAGAATTTAAGCATTATTTGGTCATACTGCATTTTCCTAGGTGGCCAAAAGTTTTCTGACCGCCTTTAAAGAATGCTTTGTGAGAGAAAATACTAACCATCATGTGAACAAGGCACTGTGGTAGGGTCCTTTGCTCGGGTTTTATATAATTTTCAAAACAACTCTGAGATAATTATAGGGTTCACAGATTTCCTTAGTAGTTAACTCCACTGCCTTGCCTTTATGTAGTAAGAAACCTTTCCAGTAGTTCCCCTGCCGTATATAATACCTTTCTAGTTCTCCATTAAAAACAACAGCAACTACCTTCTCAACCCTCTGGTAAATGGTATTTGGTTATTATTTGCTAGTCCCTTCTTCCCAGATGTTTTTTTCTCCCAGCATTCTTTCCTTACTAGTGCTGATGCCATAGGCCTTCAGTCATTTTGGTTGCTATCCAGCTTCTCCACATCAAGACCAACTTTGGGAAACCCAAACATGTGAAGAAAAGTTGACTTATACTTACTATAGTGATAATGATTACCTTATATTATTTGAATGGTAGTGTAATCTCAGGCTAGGGAGTTTTATTATTCATTTTTCAACTTTCAGCTATAGGACATCCAAGGAAGGAGGTCCAGGTTTGTCTGGGAAGGCACTTAAATTTCTTTTAAGTCTTTTTTTTTTTTTTTTTTTTTTTAAGTAGGCTCCATGCTCAGTGTGCAAGGCTTGAACTCACCACGCTGAGATGAAGACATGAGCTGAGATCAAGAGTTGGATGCGTAACCGACTGAGCCACTCAGGTGCCCTGGAAAAGATTTTCTTTTTTTTTTTTTTAAGGTTTTATTTATTTATTTGAGAGAGGGAATGAGATAGAGAGAGCATGAGAGGGGGGAGGGTCAAAGGGAGAAGCAGACTCCCTGCTGAGCAGGGAGCCCGATGCGGGACTCGATCCCGGAACTCCAGGATCATGACCTGAGCCGAAGGCAGTTGGCCAACCAACTGAGCCACCCAGGCGCCCCTGGAAAAGATTTTCTTTATGACTAGGTCCTTTTCTTTCTACAGATCACCCTCCTGACCTTGCCCCTCCCCCATGTTTAGTACCCTCTTGCCCTTTGTTCAGAACTTCCATCTTTGCCCTCCACCCTTTCTAAAACTGCTCTCAAGATACCCTACCTTTCCCTGCCCACTCCACGATCTCATTAGGTGTTGAAGGAATCTATTATCTAATTAGAGTAATTCACAATAGGACATGATTAATTGCTGTGCTTTAGACATTACCCTTTAGACGTTACCTATGAGAAGAGAAGTTTGTTGACCTGATACCTGAATATGGAGATAATGGCACTTACCTATTTCTGGTAGGCTTTCCAGTCCCAGTAAGAGAAAAACAAGAAACAGTGGCTTGACAACTCATTTCTGAAAGATTGTTTTCATTTAACCCAGATTTAATTACATTTTTTTCCCACTGCCTTCTACCACAGCAGTCTGTTGTTTAATACTTTTTGATGGTGGTTTTTGGGTATGTTTTAAGTAATAACAATTTTAATTTTGTAGACTAAACGTGATTTGGGGGGCTCTGGTTGACTCAATGATTAATAGTCTGCATAAGATAATGGTCTCCATTTTTATTTTTCTGACTAGGTTGGTGATCAGTAAATATTATCCATGTGATGTAGAGATTAGAAGTTTAATTTGTTTAAGAGGTGAAGGTAGAGCTGACCTTGTTCTTGTGAGATTAATAGATACTACTGGTTCCATTATGGAAAATTTTATGGGAACAGTATTGTTATTTATAATAGTTCAAGTACAAAGTCCATTTATTGCCTAATTTCTCACACTTTGGGGTGAGCTTAACCAAATGTGTCTTTAAAATTCAATTAATCTTTTCCATTAAAAAAAATTATATTCAGAAGAAAATGCTAAAACTTTGTCTGCCAGTCAGCATTTACTTAGGTCCCCTGTGGGTAGATAATGTGGTGGAGAAACAGAAGTACGAGAAACCCTATTTCATTCTTGTCTTAGATAAAACCTAAAATCCCAGTAGGGATCCAAAACCTCTATGCACACAAAATCCTAAAGCTGTAGAGGGCAGACTTCAGGACTTTAAAGTTGATTCACTGTAGAAAAACTAAAACTAACGTAGGAAATAAGTGATCAGATCTCTAAAGAAAGGAGTTAAAATTTGTAACTTAAGTGGCTTTTTCAATGGTTACTACAAACTTCATATTTTAAGGTAGTATATTATCTATATTATATGACAAGTCAGTAGTCACCACAGATGGCAGTCCCTAGGCCTAAATATTGTTAATACCTTTCATTTTAAATTGTGCTAAGTGTCCTTTTTTCTTGGTTTATCTTGAACATTTGGCAAAAGTCTTTTTTATGGTAGAAAATTAACTACTATTTCATTACTTGTCAGCAAAAATCAAACCACCAGAGTTCCCTGTCTTTACCTCTCTCTGAGTCATTTCCTCTCTAAACCTCTCCTTTAAAACTTACTTGCTTTGGTCTCTAATTAGTTTCCTCTGTATTCTAATTCAGTGCTTCTGCTGAAATAAAGTATCTTTTTGTCTTTCCTATTTTGTCGTCTTTATGAAAATTGCTGTATATGATTTTGTGACCATGTTTCTGTTACTCCCCCACCCCTCTGTTACTTTGATTACTGAAAGATTAGAGGTTTTTTAGCAGTCTAGTTAGTTATTTTGTGTATGTGTGAGTGCCTAAAAATGGGAGGAAATAAGCTTTGTGTCAGGAATAGAAACTTTAGGCAAATTGCCAGTATTTTAAATTATTTTTCAAAACAATATTAGGAAATTTATCTGTACAATTGGATTGAATTCAGGTATCATATCTGAAAATATGAAAGCAACTATGGCAGTTTCTCACTAGAGAAATTCTCCCTTGTATTGTGAAATGAAACATTAAATTTGTTCAGGTAGATTTGCTTGCTTCCTTTTGTCTGAACAGTTAGAGTTATATAAATTGCCCTTATTTCCTTTTTTTGCTTTACCCAACAGGCAGTTGAGGCAGGGTAGAATTATGTGGCAATTTCATTGTATAAATCTGGGATGCCTAGTATATCAGGAAATCTAAATTTTGTACATAAGTACAAAAGTACGTAAGTACACAAGTACAGTAAATACTACTGTGAAGTGTAAGTGGGTAAAAAGGTAATTAAAAATGTGTGAGTAGGGGCGCCTGGGTGGCTCAGTCATTAAGCGTCTGCCTTTGGCTTGAGTCACGATCCCAGGGTCCTGGGATTGCGCCCCGCGTTGGGCTCCCTGCTCAGCGGGAAGCCTGCTTCTCCCTCTTCCACTCCCTCTGCTTGTGTTCCCTCTCTCACTGTCTCTCTCTCTCTGTCAAATAATAAATAAAATCTTAAAAAAAAAAAAAAAGTGTGTATGGGGTGCCTGGCTGACTTAGTAGAGCATGTGACTCTTGATCTCAGGGTTGTGAATCTGAGCCCCATGTTGGGTCTAGAGATAAATAAATAAACTTTAAAAAATAATAAAAATAGCTGAGTACATTTAAAAGCAGTAATGAATTATTCGTGGCTTTTGGTTATTTTCTGTACTTTCAGAGAATACTAACAAGTTAAAAACTATTGTCAAGTGGAATTGTTAGAAAATGGTCTTTGTTATTTAAAAGTTTGGGATCCCTGTATATTGGATCCTATGTACAAATCCTAAGGGCCAGATGACTTTGATCAAATTATTTAACATTTCTGAAACTCAAGTTTTATTATCTTTAAAATGGAATAATACTAAACAGAAGGGTTGTGTTGAGAATAAGGTTAAATAATGTACTGAATTAGTCTCTGGTGGTAAAACCCAAGGATCTACATTTTTAACCAAATCCCTGGATGATTATTGGTGTAGTATTCTCAAATTTTAGTATACATCAGCCTCACCCAGAGGACTTCTTAAAACACATGGCTGGGCCCCAACCCCAGCATTTCTGATTCAGTTAGTCCAGGGTGGTATTGGGCAATTTATATTTATAAGT